ATTGACTTTTGATTGAAAAAATTGTCTGCCAAATAAACTGTTTAAGACAGTTTCCTTGTATCTTCTATGTTTTCAAAATTCCCCATATTGTCTCATTTAAAAAAAAACACTCTGTTCAATATCAAATGACATAAATATTTAAACACCTCCTCCAGCTAAATTACGAAAAGTTTAAAGTTGTCGTTCATTTTACTTACAACAAGAACCACTATTGAAATAGAAAATAGAAACCATTTATTGAAACGTCACATTATAAAAATAGGCACAAACAAGTAATAAAAATAAAAACAAATATAATATAAAAAAATGCGTAGCAAACGTCTGAACAACAAGTTAACAATATACATACTATATTGACATGATTGTGGCTATGGCGTATGCACAAGGATCTCCATTCAGTTATAGTTCATTTACACATAGCATGGGTACGATGACGTTTGAGATTAAAAGATTCTAGAGGTAATAATAATAAAATAATGTAAGAGCTAAAATCGAATGAAAAAAAACTATTTAAATATTTATCGAGATAATTAAATCTTTAACGAAGAGTGAATTGATTTAAATACAATAATTTAAGAACAAATAATAAACAAAATGAAAAGGCTACAATTATTATGTTATAAGGTTACTAAAAAACTACAATAAAAAAACTGGAAATGCCACAGTATCCATCCTATGTGAAATGGACTATAGAAATCACAGCCAAGAATAGGCTGTGACGCTGGTTTAAAATGGATCCTGGCTGAGTGAGTGACAAACGTGTGCGTCGCATAGTGAAAATAAAATAAACTACGTCTTACTTGTGTCTTATGTGTACATCGTGTTATTGCAATGTATACTCATAAAAACATCGAATAAATACATAATCTTTGCAATATATCTATACATACAGTTATAAGTGTATGAATTGGGAAAGCAAATAGTTATTCAATCCCGTTATTATTTGACACATATTTAAAATCCATTTCGCCAAATATTTTAAACAAGATTAACTATTTTTCATAAAAAAGAATTCGACTGGACTTCAACATTTAACGACTATTATTCTTATGCAGTTACTATTTCGAAAAATGCTATGTGGAATTATGCTTATATGGTTATTAAATTAAATAAAAATATGTAATTAAATTAATTTAACATTGTTTTAAATATAATTTCTTTATGTCATTCTGTTACATTTGCCCCGAGTACAAGGTGTTGTGAACTTGTTATCAAGAAGGAAAAATTACAGTAGATATTTTTATAGTGGTTTCATTTCAAAGTGTAATTTCCTAATTTATTAACAAAACACAGCCTGTTTTATTCGGGAACCTGTTTGATGCACGGGCGCCGAAAGAGGCGCGGGAGAAGCACGGGGTGGGGTGCCTACTAACAAAATAATATTAACGTTATAATATTCATTGAACCTTTACAAATATAAAATTAATTAAAGTTTCCGACCATCAAAGACATAGTAACAAATCAAAAGTACGACTTTCTGATTTCCAGAACTATACGGCTTCCATCTCATGTTACCCAAAAATTTGCATTTTAAGTAAGTAGTGATGTTGAACTAGATTTGAACCAAATCTTGTTTCTCATCGGCTGCCTCCCGAAGTAGCGATCAAACTTGTTCAAATTTGCAATGGAAATATCTTTTTATTTCCCCTTTGAGCTTTCAATGTTTAAAGGGACGGGGAAATCAACTGCTTAAGGATGTTCAACTTCCTAGCGGTTGCCTTTAAGTTGTATAGGGAACATTTTTGTTAGTAATGTAAATGTCTTCCGAGTTACGCCAAGCTTTAAATTTTACTTTACGTCCACTTTAAAACATATACAGGGTGTAATCGTTAAGTGTGCCCAGGGGATTATTCCACAAATATAAGCGATATCAAAAAGCTTTAAACTGATAACGAAAGTACGTTACATAGTGAGTAAATCGACATCGATAACTTTCTATAAAATAAACTAGAAATATCCAAAATTTTTATTTTAAATGCTTCTATACATTTAATAAGACATCCATAGAGAGGCCTTAGTTTTCCTACTGTAAAAAGTTACAATAAGTTAACAGATGACAAAATTCACATAAATAAAGTAGTAAAACTATAGTTTAATTGAATAAAAATATAATGGCGTAGTCAATTATTTGGTCAAGTGTGAGTTGTCCATAAAATGAATAAAATTAATCAAATTTGTTTTAGTTCTGATCGACTCAGATTCTTATAACAATTATTTTCTTGTATAGGATGAAAAAAATAGGGACGACAAAAGTTGATCAAATTTAATAAAATGTTATTCATTTTGTATGAAAAAACTTTTAATTAAATTTGACCCACTTTTGCTGTCCCAATTTATTTTGTCCCATACAATGAAACAATCCTTATATGAAACTGACAACTCACACTTAACCATTATATTTTTATTCAATTAAAAGATAGTTTTATTACTTTATTATAGCAGTTTTGTAATCTGTTAACTTATTGTTACCTCTTAGAGTAGAAAAACCAAGGCCTCTCTACGAATGTCATATTCAATATATGAGAGCGTTTAATGTTAAAATTTTGGATATTTCTAGTTTATTTTATAGAAAGATCCGATGTCGATGTGCTCATTAGATAACGTACTTTCGTTATCAGTTTAAAGCTTTTTGATACCGCTTATATCTATGGAATAGTCGCATGCAGGGGTATGTAACAACTCTATAGCTAAAACGACAGATGTTAATGAGTAATAAGTCTTATATACAAAAACGTTACTCGATCAAGGCGTAAGTCAATTTTGCCGCAGTCTTATGTTATACATACAATATAACAAATTGCTACACATTCCTACGTATATTGTATATAATGTGACCCCTCATATACGCATAAAAACGTGTGAGTTTCTAGGGCAATTTTAAAGGACAACTTTATTGTATGTACGTAGGATTAAGATATATTTTCTCTCAAGGTGACGTGTATGTTATCGACTACAAATTTAATGTGACAATAAATTGGTAGATAAACAAAACCTTACCACCATCATTTACATAACTTTGTTTTATTTTACATGAGGTGTATTTAAAACAATGGCGTTTCAAATAAGCATCTCCATTTTGAGTTCAAAATAAAATATAGCCCTTGAAGATATTCAACAACTTTGATGATAAAAACAATGGCACAAAATTGTCGGACTCAAATTAGGTTCTGGTTAGTTGCGGCGTGTACGTGCTCTGTATTTCGAAGGTACCGTTCGATACAATGCAAAACATAGATTAAATAATAGTGACTTTTAGAAATATTATTTAAAATCTGAATTTATAAATATCTTTCACGTAGGAAACGAAACAATTTTTTCTTGCATAGTTTAGTTATATGTACATTACTAACTTATTTGCATAAAAAGTTTGAAATGCAGGTCATGTTGTGAGATTGTGCAATAAAAGTAAAATAATAATATAAAAGACCCTAAACATTAGTTTATGTGAAAAAACAAACATACTTATTAGATTAGATTAGATTTAGATCCGAGAAAAAAAAAATTTCATTTCCTATGTGTAACAATCGCGAAAACCTAAGAACTCTATTATCACACATGCTCATTCGAAAGTAGTAACAACAAAATGATGACATGACCGTGGAAGAGAAGCGTGACAGTATATAAGTATATATTATATTTTTTGTTCAGGCGCTGGCATTGGCACATTACACATTGAGTTTACATACAAATAATCTCCGTTTGTCCAATTGCTAGTAAGTCAATGAATTGCTATAATAATTTATCCATGAAATATGGATTATTATTTAAAGAAATTAATATTTTTAGGTGAGTAAAAAGTAAAAAAAAGTTTTTTTATATTTCATTGATATTTTAAGGGTTTTCTTTTTTTTTTACATGTTATACAAGTTTAATTTCAAGCGACTGTACAAAAACTGTCAAGTAATGATTCAATTTTAAAAGTGTTGCCCGGAACTTACACTGCGTTAATAATATATTATTTTTCATTACCTAGCAAAAGTGATATAATAATTTACAAAAATCTCATTAGCTAATAAATAGCTCTCTTTTTCACAAGTATTATGTTTTGTATAGCTTTTGTATAGCGAAATTTATTTCATAACTTTTAACAGTAGGTTTTTACAAGACACAGAAAAATATAGTACTATTATAAAAAATATATAGGAGCGTATGTTATTTATTTTATTACATTTTTAAGTACGCTTCTAGTAATTACTGTAGGCAAGGGCTTGCGACAATTTTTTGCCTTGTGTCCATTTAAAAATATAAGATTTTGTTTTTGTTCTAATCATGCAATGTTAATCGATTATATCGATAAATCAAATGGGCTGAACATAAAGCTATGGTTTCGTTGAGAATTGTGGCTAATGCGTGAGGGAGATCAAGTCTGTGGGGGAGCAGGAAGGCGGCTAGGGGGCTGGGCGGTTGTACCCGCGGTTTGCTCGAAACGACGCGCGCACTCTTCAATCGCCATAAGTGTGAGTGTTTTTGTCTTTCACCGCAAAACTCCCAGACAAAGACAGCGCAAAGTAAATTACTATAACAAAATTTTTGCGACTAATGTACATGTTTGGAACATAAAAACTTAGGCGAACTACTTTATTTATTGTACCTTTTTCTTTGCGAACACAAATTTGTTATCCTTAATTTCTACCTGGTTTTGTTTTCCCCCTTTTGTTGATTATATTTAAAAAAATAATGTTAAAAAGGGTCATTAAGAGCAGGGTTAATGATAAAAGATTGTATGGTGGTCGCGAATTGCGATAAGCTTTCAGCGCTTTCAGCAAGCAAGTGAGCGTGGGTGGCGGGTTGGGCGTGCGCCCCCGCTCCTCATGCCACAGTCGCTCCGCCATCGCCCATCAGTCGCCCCTAAGTCTCAGGTTTGCACACAGCATCCCTACACTTTATCGACTCACATTTTATAGAAATCGCTATAATTCCGCTAAAAACAACGTTTGTAGTATGTTCTAGGCTGTGTTGAATCAATCGATAATGTTATAGAGACAGAAAAAGTGGTAACAATGGTGTTCAACGAACGTTTCGTCTTGGTTAGTGCCGGCTTGTTTTTGTTACAATTTGGGGTATTGTCAGCGCAGAGTTTTCCTGTTGAAAAGATTGCTGTTGGTATGTATACTTTTGCATAATTTTAACATAGAATAATAGTTTAAACATTTCAAGTAATGAAATAAATTTGGTTGGTGTTTTGTTGTTGACATGTTTTTAATTGGTTGATTATTTACTTTATTTTGATAAATTATTAATTTTAGCTGTTTCGATAAGTTGATTCTAAACGTATGCATACTAATAGTTTGCATGTAAAAAGTTTAAGCATCAGTGATTTTACGTGTTTTGTAGCTCTGTCTCTTTTCAATTCGTGGTCTGAAAGCGAACCTATCGATTTTCTCCCTCTAGTCAGCGACGTATTGCTATTTCCGTCTCGGACTCTCTCGGATGTGTAACGTATATTAACAGCTCTTCGTGAATCTCGTGCTACCTCACTCAGCTTCCATAGAGTTGGTTTTTAGTTTATTAAATTTTTTATATAAACGCAAGTTGAAGTTAAGTTAGGTAATTATGTTGCAGAAAAAGTCTTTTACTTAACCGTTTATTTCTTTACTACTTTATTTGTAAGTCAATGCTACTATGGAAAAAAAAAATAGAAAAATAACTTTTGACTAAAACTGACATCCACTATTTACAAAACGAGTTAATACTGTCAGCAATCATAACTCTATTATGATTTTGGCCATTTTTTAAAGTGTTTTATTAGGTTCTAGATTTATTATGTGGAATTATGCTAAGTCACGTAAATAGAGTCGTACGATAACATTTAACTTCCTCCTTCTATCACTTTTGTCCCGAGGGTGCACAGAAAAGTATCAGAATCTATAATATACAATTACACTTGAATCTACATGAGAGATCATAGGCGCTCACGGAAAAACGAATGTAACTTATTTACATACCTTTCGTTTTGATTTAGATAGCATTTTACTTTTAATAAACTAGTTGCAAGCGAGTTTTATTCCGTCTTTCAAATAACGAAGCAGCATCTAAATTAAAAATTTTATGAGAACGCTTGTATTTTTTCAAATTGCACTCCCACTGTACTTGGTGAATAGCAAAATCTGCAAATGTCCTCAAAAGTACTTTACGGAAAATTCGACATTGGTAAACTCATTAAAATACACCGCCATTGAGCAAAAAGAACAAATTATTCTGCATGACGTCTGTAATTTATTTTTCGCCTCACTAGCTCGGAAAGGTTTTCTTTCTCATTAGAAATCTGCGCGCAAAAACGTTTACTGCACGCTAGCGTGGAAAAGGTGTTTGAAATTCGAACTTGTCATATTAAATGTATCTAGTTTTATTTAAAAAAAAGTTATTGATGTCGATTTACTTATTAGGTAACGTACTTTCGATATCAGTTGAAAGCTTTTTGATATCTCTTATATTTATGAAATAATCGCCTGGGCATACCTAACGATTACAGCCTATATATAGACAGACTTTTCGACGGCAATAGAACTCAAAATAAGATTATAACAATTCCAGAAAAGTATTTTGAAATATTAGAATCACAAGTGGAATATGTAAAATTCAAAAAAAAAAAAACAATAAAGCGTCGTAGTTAACGCCGTTACTGCCCATGAAAGTGTTAAGACCATGTCTAACGAATCGTCTCATGCATGAAGTAGCTCTTCAATATGGTTGATAAGAGTGCAGACTAGCTAAAATCTGCTTTTATCACTATACCCAAAAAACCAAATGCCAAGCGCTGTGAGGATCACAGAACAATCACTTTAATGAGCCATATCCTGAAAGTATTCCTAAAGATCACTCATTCTTGTATTCATCAAAAATGCGAAGAATATATGTATATCAGAGACACACAATTCGGTTTCAGGAACGACTTAGTCACTAGAGACCTGATGTCTTAGTTCAAAGATGTTTGGATATGAATAGTCTATTTATGTTTTATAGACTATGAAAAGGCATTTGATAGGGTTCGCCATGAACATCTGATTCAGATGGAATTTAAAGACTTGACCTCAGAACTATAACCAATCTTTACTGGGCCCAGAAAGCAATGGTATAAGTGGAAGACCAACTACAAATAAACTGAAAGGAAACGTGGCTTAAGACAAAGGTGCATATTATCACCTGTTTTATTTAATGTCTTCATTAACAGAGCCTTTACATGAAGCCGAAGAGGGTATAGTGATAAACGGAGAACTCATTAATAATATACGCTACGCAGATGATACTATACTGATTATGAGAATATCGCTGACCTACAAAAACCGCTGAATCATGTAAATGTAGCAAGCAAAGTAACAACTATGGATTGAAAATCAACACAAAAAAGACAAAATTTATGGTCGTATCTAAGACCCCAGTAGCGAATGAATATTTGACTTTGGAAAATAATCCAATAGAACGCGTACACCAATTTAAACACCTCAGTAGCTACGTAAATGAACACTGGGACTGCGTAAAGTATCGCACTGAAGAAGCACGGAATGCCTTCTTGAAAGTGAAAAAGATTTTGTGTTGTAAAAGGTTCAACCTTAAACTTGACATACATTTGATCCTCAGTTATATCTTCAGTATCTTGCTGTTTGGTATGGTGTGTTGGACCTTGACCAAAGGATTATGCTCAAAAGAGGAGTCCTTTGAGATGTGGCTGTACAGACGAATGCTTGGCATATCGTGGATACAAAAGGTCACCAATAAATATTGAGATTCTTCGTCAAACGGGAAAAAGTTGGAGATACTCAGGACAGATAGCTACTGGATTTTTCAACTAATAATGCAAGGTAAAAACGAGGAAAGCAAAGTCGTGGCAGAAGGAATGCCTCGTGGTTGAAGAATCTGAGAAACTGGTTCCACTTTAGCTTACGTTTCCTCTTTTGTGTGGCAGCTTCAAAAATAAGAATAGCCTGATGGTCGCCAACCTTCGTAGAGAAGCGGCACACTAAGAAGAAGAAGAAGACGGGACGAATGTCGCTCAGAGCTTTAAATCGTTTAAGTACATTTACTTAATAGAATCAACATGAATGGAAATGGAATATAAGCCTGATTCTGAACTAACACCATATGGAGAACCGCAAGGGAGTATTTCAAAGACAGATCGAACAAGTCGTGCACCTAATGTCAAGCTACGAGTACACGCCTGATCATAACAGTTGCAGTGCCACTCAGAGCTTCAAATCGCATATATCTGACTATCACTACCGCTGCGCCCGTCATGTCACCCTCCGACATTAAGTTATATGATGCCTATGATCAATGAGCAAGTTCCTTGTGCCTATAATTTCACCAGCACCCTTACCCTTCAAAACTGAAACACAGTAATGCTGTAAATTACTGTTTGGCGGCAGAAATCGGTAAGGTAGCATGACTTCCCTGAACGAACTCTTTCACAAGTAGCTCTACTGGTAATAAAATTAGGTAGGTAAATTTAATAACATATCTAATGTTATTAAATTTAATATTTACCGGATCAGTTCCTAAAACTGCAAATGAAACTTTACTATGAACCTTTTATTACTTATTTCCAACAGCGTACAGAACCAAAATATCTTTATAATAATGAAAACAAAACCTTAATGTAAGAGCATTCCTACTGGTAATAAACAAATATTTTACGGCAAATTTTGCTGGAACAACACTTCATTCTAATTTATTCTTCAAACTTCTGGACACTGCATGACAATGTCTTATGCAGGCATTATAAATACTGTGTATGGTTTTATTGGAAGTTTCGAATAAGTAAGACACTATATTACAGTAGCTCAAAACTATGTAATTGCAGTCCAAAGACCTCGTAGCAATGTCGATATAATAATATGGCCGAATTCTATATGTGTAGTAATTTAATGGTCAAAAAACATTTATTCAATGTACAGTCAAGAGCACGTCAAGCTTGACACTTTGTACTTTGGACCATTCTTATCGTAAGGAGCATCGAGTTGGATTTAAATCATATGTGTCAAGCTTGATGTGCTCTTGACCCTGTACCTACCGTCTGTGTGCTCCTTAAATTATGTTACCATTTATCACCAAACCCAGATTTCTCTCGAGAACTCTCTTTTAAACAGAAAAAGGATTTACGTCGGTCTTAATTGTTGGTTATCCGATAAATAAGGAAGGTTTACTCGTAAATGGCTACATTCTTATTCGGCGACCGCTGCAAATCGCAACTTAAATTATGTTTGCTGCTTAAATCAAGTTTCTAACAAGTAATGGGTAACCGGGTTAACGCCTTTATCTACAATTGCACGAAGTACAGTAGCAGGTCTGATGTTTGTAAACCCGTCCATCCTTGATTTCTTTGGAATACGTAGATGAAACAGCAGCGCAATGCGATCAACTAAGGAATATTCCACAAAGATTTTATTTACTATTGCTCCAGTAGAGAGCATGACATAGCTTGACCATTTAATTAATAGATTCCTATAGACATAAGTTGACAAGTTCCATGTGCCTGTAATTTCACCACCACCTTTACCCTTCAAGCCGGAACACAGTAATGCTAACATTACTGCTTGGCGGCAGAAATAGGTAACGTGGCAGTACTTCCCTGGACGAACTCTTTCACAAGGAGCTCCACTGAAATCAATTATTATTATCATTATTGCTATTATTTATAAAAGTTCATTTTTAGTTTTAAATGAAATATTTTATTTTATTTAAAATTATAAATGAACTTTATTATTTTGTATTTTATACATTTTATAAATGTATTTTATGATTTTATTTAAAAGCTATGCATAATTAATTATAAATTAATTATTGGTTGTTAATTATTAACAATTAATTAACTGTGAACTGTGCTTTAGTATTAGAATAGTTTTAAGTGTTGTACTTGGTTGGTGCGTTTTTATTGTGTCATTATCAAGCAAATAAAATAATTTAAACAATAAATTGTCAAATATGACACGTTCGGAAAAAGTGGTGATACTGACACAATCTAAAATGTGAATGTAATTACACTGTCTGGCTTTGCAAAGTTGCCGGCGGTAACCTTCTGGGAATTTGACCTAATCATGTTATTAATAATTGACACCACCTAACAGTTAGTTTCTTTTTAACCGACTTTAAAAAATGGGAGATTCTCA